AGTTATAGTTGGTTTATAAAATTATCAACAACAAGTAAATATCATGCTTGTCGATACGCCTGTTAAAAAAAGAGGGAATAGTTGCAAGCAGTTTTAGTTGTGCAAACCTTTTCAAATAGTGCGCACTGTTCTTAATTAGATCCTAAATAGAATTTATATAAATGATAAAACTTTTAATTGATTTATATTTTAAACAATGGAGTACGTTGTAAACATTTGCAAAATAATTGTTTTTCTCACCTTCCTTTTTTGCACATTGGGTTTGCTCGTAAAGCGTAAAGATGGGATCAAGCGCCTGCAGGAAATACGTTACCTACAAGTGGGGCGGTGTAAGCCGCCTGCACTGGTATGCATGTTGTAATAACTGTAACGAAGAAGACAGAAGTTGTGACGGTGATACATATAAAAATGCTTCAAGTAAGCGTTATTGTGCAAACTGTGGGGTGGATACCGACAGCGGCAATGGAAAGCAGTATGCAACGTACTCGTGTGGTTGATGCCAAGGTCAAAATCGTACAGCAGCAATGTTTATCGAAAATCCGGTCGGTGTACAACATTCCTGGAATATGTTGGGGCATTTGCAAAATGCTTCAGAAGAAAATGCGGATCAGACTTAACTCGTGACACGTGCTTTAACTTGAGATGCGAGCCTGGAGAAACTCTCAGTAATTGTCCATCAGACTGCTGTGGAGATGAAAACAATAAATGTCTCTGGGGACAATCGGACAAACGTCTACCAAAATGTTGTAGTGAGTCTACATGCCGTGCTTAAGGCAATAGTGGAAGAGATTGACATGTTTTTTTCGGAATGCATTATGTTTGCCTCATCGGCATGATAATTATTCTGTCATTCATCAATGGACATTTTAAAGTTCAATTGTACGTTTTAATAATGAAGTCACACCCTTTAACGTTTTGCATGAGCAATGCAATTTTCTTGATTTTGTAAAATGTATTTTAACCAAACTTAATTATCTTTTGAACAAATGTAAACGGCTTATATGCGTAACATACCGGAGCGCCTCAACTATTCTTTATTGTGCGAATGGTAGGATAGCTATGACGAAAAGCGATGAAAGGGCATATGCAACTTATTCGTGTGACGGAAAAACTGTTCATCGGGTATTCCATTTAGCATATTCCCGGATTGTCTTGGGCTTTGAGGAAATGTTTCAAGAGAAAGTGGCGAAGAGAAACAATGCCGAGCACATGTTTTAACCTGAGATCCGACTCTGAAACTGTCAGTAATTGTTTATTTGACTGCTTTGAACATCATGTTGCTGCGATTAGTTGAAAAAAGTGTATGTCACAATGCTGTAGTTTAATTATTTCTTATAAACAAAACAAAAGCAAAAAAAGAAAGAGCCAATAGTATCTGTTGCATTAACTAAATGATATATGGACCTCGGGACGTTTCTATGCAATGGTACTTATATTACATAAAAGGGCGTTTTGTTGTTGTTGTTGTTGTTGTTGCTGGTTTATTTTTGCTTCACGCAGACCATACAATGTCACTAGGTATAGGCACCGTGATTATTCCGATAATCCCCAGTTTGATTTTTAACAAATTAAACCTAAAAGGCTATTCCATGTATTAATCATCGATCTTACCTAGAACTCTGTACTGCTCTGTAATAACATGCATTAATGTCTTCAGCGTACTTAAGCGAGAAGCAAACCACTGCACTGAAAAGTGAACATCAAATTATTTCAGAATAAATAAAGACGGTTTGCGATATTTACAATATTTAGCTATCTTGATAAAATTACAGCGGAGAGAATGTTTGTTATAGCGCAAATCAAAAGGCGTAATCACGCAAAAAAAGCGTAATAACGCGAATAAAGGGGTAGTTACGCGTTATTATGCCTTTATTCGCTATAATTTACATTTAGTCGCTTTACTCCCCACTTTGTTTTGCGTATTAACGCCCTTTAATTCGTTATTACGCCTTTTTTTCGCGCGTCAATGCCTTTTTTTACTGTCCATACGAATAGATCCCTAGTACAATTTATTCACTATTACTACTTAAATATTTGTAAATGTTATATAATTGTTGGCATTGACCAATTTAGAAGATTGATTAAGAGGTAGGCCACAAATAGCATGACGAGAGCATTAAGGAAATGCAATGTTCTTGAATACATAACATAATTGAGCACCCTAACGCTTGTCATGAATTTTGGTCTCACGGTGAAAAATTATCTTTATGCATGAGTAATGATGAAAACTCCTCCATTTAAAAAAAATAGTTTTTAATCATTTTTTGAGTAATTTGGGATTCAAACATGCTACACTGTGTGAAATTGAAAAACAAGAACGTGTTCGTTAAACACAAATGCCCCTGGCTCAGATTCTTGTCAGGGGGCTCCCCAAAAGTTTTTCAACATTCTTTTACTCTGTCTTACTACTTTGTTTACGTTTTAGCCCTAATTGTTCTGGAATGTCATTCATTACATACATTATCAGGGGGTAATTGGAAAATATGTAACCTGTCATCGTGGGAGTTCTGTGCAACTAGAATTAAGAGATAGAACATGTCCTATCCTGTAAATCTAGTATTAAATTCTACGAATTCAAGAAATAGTATCATTCACACATTAAGATTTGCTTGTACAACTAAGTTTTAATTGGTGTTGTACTTCAAAATCCTACCGTCTGTTGAGGCCTTAGCCAGATATCAAGCACACTATCTGGCAGGTACTTGAACATCTGTAAAGATAGCAATTCACCCGCGACGGAATGACCCCTCTTATCTTTAAATGACACAAGTTCCTAAGTGTAAAAGGAACTTAATCATGTTAAGAGGCAAGTTATCTTCCCCGGCTCATATACTTCTTCTTTGTGTTTTTAGATTCAGTTCAGTCGGATATTTCAGGGTTAAAGCTATTGGAGACATATTGAGGTACTTCAAAATAAATTGACCTTTTTCGAGAGGAGATTTTGCTGTGTCCTTATTCAATTTAACAAGCGGTCCACAGAGATGTAGTTATGTCTCTGTGGTACAGAATTGGTAGCTACATTGTATTTCATTAATTCTTTGAATGTTTATATTAAATGCCAAGCTATATGTCCTGTCGAATGCCATACCAGTAAATGATACATGTTCTATATAATGTTATTGATGAAATACGAAACAATTATAAACAGCTGATTCACGTGAATTGTCAAGTTTCATTTTAAGCAGCAAAATATAATTATATCACAAATATGTAAAGGAATATAAAATTCGTTGAAGATGAGACTTTAATCTTATACTTAGCATATGTTATATAAGCAATGGCCCCAAAAACGGCAGCCAGAGGAAGCAATTACTGGTATGTGAAAAGCATCTATGGATACAATAAAACAGAGAGTAAAGTAAAAATGTAAGATTTGCACGATTGTTGCAATGCTAACAAAAATTATACATGTTAACTCAACACTCAGACATTTCTTTCACGTTATAAAAACTTCCATCAAAGTTTCGCGTTGTTAAATGACTGCTGATAATTTATCTTTCGTTTCGATGAGTGACATATATGATCTCTTAAAGGCCCATGTTTCTCCAAAAATATCTGATTTACACAACAGCTTTATGAAGTGTATTATAAGTTTTCGAAAACATACTCAGTGGCAATTTATCCGGACCAACTTTTGTTGTTGTTATGTTGTTGTTTAATTTTTAATTATTATCATTATTTATTTATTTTTTTATTAATTTTTTTATCTATTTATTTATTTGGTACCGTTAAAATTATTTGTTTGCTTATTGTTTGATTGGGTTTTACATCACACCGACACAATATAAGTCATAAGCTTTACTGGTGGAGGAAGACCTCAGGTGCCCTTCAGTGCATTATTTTAGGCACGAACGAGCACCTGAGTAGAACCACCGACATTCCGTAAGCTAGCTGTGGATAGCTTCCTGACATGAAAGAATCCAAAGTCCCTGTCGAGGTTCGAACCCACAGCGGTGAGGGGAAAATGGCTTGAAGTCAACGACCATAACCACTCGGTCACGGACGCCCAAAAATGATTTGTAACTTGCATTGAAATCATATTACAAGTTTGGTTACATTTTGCTACTTTTATGACATATTTTTTTCAACATTCAATGTCGCTTTCTTAACGTGACTAGCAGTAAAACTAAATGCTTTATTTAAACACTGGGTCTGTACAACTCATTTTTGAAGGTTTTCCTTGAGAAAAAAAATAGGAAGTCATTTTTAGGATTCATGCACCTTTAAAGATGGTTATAGCGCTAAACCTAATAGTAGGCGAACTTTGATAAGCTTGCAAAAAATTTGGAATTCAGATATTAAGTAGTTTTATCTGCTTTATTGTTTATTTGATACAGTGCGTTTTGGGCTATAAAACGCTTTGACGGCGGGAAGATTATCACTACATTATAAAGAGAATTGAAACTAGGCATGGCAATGAATTATAAGATAGCAGTATTTCTAAGCTTGATTGTTGTTTCACTGGGCATGCGTGTAAAGAGAAGGGAGGGAGACCAATCGCCTCCAGGGCAATGCGCTACCTACAAATGGGGTGGTACTAGCGGTGTACACTGGTATGCCTGCTGCAATAACTGTAACCGAAGCGACACGAGTTGTGATGGCAAAACATATCAGAGCGCATCAGATACCAAATATTGTGCAAATTGTGGAATAGACACAAAAAAGGGCAACGGAAAGAGTGGTGCAACATACTCCTGTGGTGGATGTCAGGGTCAAGAACGTAGCCGTAAAAAGTGTTTGTCAAATCTTCGGATGCTTTATAAAATTCCTGGACTGTGTTGGGCATTTGCTAAATGTTTCCAAAAAAAATGCAAATCACAACCCACAGAATCAACGCCGGCGCCGGACATGTGTTTCAACTTGAGATGCGATCCTGGAGAAGATGTTAACAATTGTCCAGCTGATTGTTGCGGAAATGAAAACGAAAAATGTAAATGGAGTCAATCAAACACATGTGTACCTAAATGTTGTAGTGAGTCTACATGCTGTAATGATTCCAGTCGAAGTGGTGGACTTTACTCGTTGAAGATACATTATGTCAGCATTTTAAGCATAATGATGTCAGTTGTTAGTACACGATTTAATGTTTAAATGTTCAATCTTAAACAGTATTCAAATGACATTTTAACATTAATTTGAATTGTGATTTTGTGTTACACTAACAAGGAAAACAACTATTATAGATTAATGAATTTTAAGATTTTCATTCTTATGTCAAATCCGTATTTATCTTACACGTATTTGTTAAATCTTTATCACAACGCTTATAACACAGACAGAGGCAAACATGTTATTATGAGGTATGGTCTTATCAAAAACGTTTTGGTTTATCTTTTCGTAATATCAGAATGATTTCTCTTCTGTGTATCACCCTTTTTATGTGTGACTGTTAACAAAATATATGTCAAATATATGATATATAGTCTTTTAATCTTAAATATTCAATATATCTTACATTACATTCATTTCATGTTTAATGTAACATCGCACGGCATGTGGTTGATTTGCCGATTTTTTCGTTTACATGTTTAATGTAAATACATTAAGACATTAAGAACGACATTCTTTATATTACATTTCACACAAAATCGTTTTTTTTTTAACTTTTAAAGACAAGGAAGTAGTCAATGACGTCCCGTCATTAAAACTGTTTCTGCCTTACAGGATTAAACGAATGCTCTGACTGACAAATAATATGTTTTAGACTTACGTTTCTAGATGATTTGTTATTTTCTTTCATATTCCAAATATATACAGTGAAGTAAATTTTATATTTGTCTTTTTTATATCATGACCGACAGCCTTTGTTTATTCTTTGATATGTTGCAGTGTATGAGGCTAAGAAGGTGCTTGTGTAATCTTGAGTGTCATTTTGATAATGTAAAGACCTGCGTAGAAAAGCAATGTGTTAAGGGTTACGGACTATTGTGACGGAGGTTGTTTGCGAGTCGCCATATATGACCTCAAGTGGAAAACACTATTCCCCCAACATACATTTTAAATATATTTTCATAGAAAAGGTTGATAAATTGTAATTACGATAGAAATTCTTATGATCATCAGTATCACCGATTACAAAAGATATATAAATGATGATATCGTATACGGTATTCATATTAAAAACAAGAATTCGCTAAATACAAATATTTTTACAGCACAACAGAGCTTCTGCTCTGTGTTTCGTATTTTATTTAGTCGTAATTATACAACTCACTAATTGATAAGCATCATGTTTCAAGTTTTTAGGTTAGAGCGCTAGGATTTCACAATAGTTGTCACAGTGAACTCTGGAAATGTTAAAGAACATGTCAAATGAATGACTTAGGCTTGTTTCAGTCATACAATATCAACAGTATCTGTTAATGTAACTACAAGGATTTGTTCAAGTCACCTGACTTTTTTTAAAACTATTCGGTCATTATATTGGCGGATTAATTTTGTTTAATATATATATTTATACATTTATGTTTCAGATCTAAAATATATAGAATTTAAAGAGAGTACCCCAAGGCTCCATCTTTGGGCCGCTACTATTTCTTGTTTTCATCAATGACATCGTGGAAGATATAGGCTCTAAAATCAATCTTTTTGCTGACGATACAAGTTTACATATTATTGTTGACAACCCTGCTTCTGCTGCTGAAACACTTCAATCTGATATAGACAAGATATCAGCTTGGGCTGAAAAATGGCTAGTTACTTTCAATCCATCGAAGTCTGAATCTATGGTTATCTCTCGTAAAAGAAATAAACCCTTTCACTCTTCACTTCTAATGCATAACCAACAAATAACAACTGTAAACAGTCACAAACATCTTGGCATCCACCTTTCAGACGATTGCTCGTGGCATTGTCACATTAACTATATTACCGAACGAGCCTGGAAGAGGATACACATCATGAGGAAATTGAAGTTTCAACTTGACCGTAGATCTCTTGAAGTGATATATTTAACTTTCATCCGACCGCTTTTGGAATACGCCGATGTTGTCTATCTAAACTGCACACAATATGAGAAACTTGAGCTTGACAAAATTCAAAATGAAGCGTCTCGTATTGTGTGCGGTGCTACAAAACTTGTATCATTAGACAAACTCCATAGTGAAGTTCCTTGGGAATCCTTAGAATCTCGAAGAAATAATCATATGCTTATCTTACTTTATAAAATGAAAAATGGCTTAACACCAGATTACTTGTGTTCTTTACTTCCACCTACTGTAGGCGAAAATTCAAGGTACAATCTACGCAATGCTACAAATATTCAGACTATTCGAACACGAACTACTCTTTATCAAAATGCTTTTCTTCCAACTGCTCTGAATAAATGGAACGCCCTTCCAACTGAAGTGCAAAATTTACGCTCACTGTTTGCTTTCAAATCCCATTTGAGACGAAGCAGCTCTAGTTGTCCGATTTATTTCTATGAAGGCGATAGAAAATGGCAGATCTTTCATGCTCGACTTCGTACTGAATGTAGTTCACTAAATCAGCATCTATTTAAGAAAAATATTTCTCCATCTCCACTTTGTCAGTGTGGCATAGTGGAAAGTAATTACCACTTTTTCTTTGAATGTCATCGCTATGCTGACAGCAGGGCCTCTTTTCTTAACACAATATCTACTATTTGTTCAGCAACTCTCCAAAAGTTATTAAATGGAGACCCAAACATTAGTGATGATGCAAACAAAAGACTGTTTGAAGCCGTTCATACATACATCCGAGAAAGCAGGAGATTCTCTTAAGCATATTCACATCAGCTCAAATCAATAAATACTTCCCATCTAAATCGCCGAACTATCCGAATCATCCACATTTAATTTATTTCTTCTTCTTTTATATTTTGCTGAAAGTTTCTTACTTCATTTCTTTCTATCTTAATTTACGTTATTTCTCTTTAATTTTATATAACAAATGATGCAGTCTTGTATTCTCATTCATTTTTTGTATTAATTTTTGCTTTACATTATAACTAAATGTTAGAAACAATTTTGACTTTAACTTCTTAAAAACAATGTAAAATCAGATATATTTCAAGCAAATCACATATACTGTCATACCGTATTTTATGCATTGTAAATCTATAAGGAGAAGGCCTTTATAAGCTCCGCTTTCGGACCCAATCCTTTTTCAGCATATTATGTTTGTATTGTGTACATTATTGTCTGTATATATATTGTGAATTTGTTCGAAATAAACTATGTTTAAACTAAATACCATGACATTAGGAGTGGACTTGTTGACATTCATTATAAGTTTAAAATATTTTAACTGAAGTTGTTTTATAATTTCAATGTTACCTACACCCCACACATCTACACCATATAACAAAATAGGAGTGACCATAGAGTCAAAAAGTTGCAAGTGTAAATCAATATCAAGACAAAGAATTTTGGATTTTTGTATGTCAATAAAGCAGACAACACGGAACGCGCGGAAAACACGCATACCTATTAATAAATACCCTTCAGAAACGGCATTAATGGCGACGGCAAGGACGTCTACATTTTATATATTTAATTTCATTCAACTTTGAGATTATTCTATTTGCATAGCGTTTATTGAACGCTGCATACATTTACGCAACATGTGTTGTGTACTGTATTCGATTTTCAAAGAATATTTATGGCTGAATAAAGATCTGGGTCCTGACGCTGATAACGATAAATGTTCCACAACGAAAGCGTGTGAAGGTTGCGCTTCGAATATTTATTTACATATCTCCGGTAGATGCACGTGTGCTTATTTCAAAGATATGCTGCCAATTTTTTTCGAGTTTTATTGATTGTTCAAAGAGCAAATATTGTGTGAAAATGATTTAATGGTAAATATTTATTAATAATGCTTTGTTTGCCTCAATAATTGAATGTTTAACAGTAATATTATGCACAATAAACACGTATCATACTTTTTGATACTTCCACTTACAATTTTTGTGTTAGTAACAAAACCCACTATGAAATTCATTGTTAATGTGCCTTGATGTTCGG